TGGAACTCCCCCAGCGCCCAACCAGCCTCAATCATGACACATCATGGCTCTATTCCAAGACCATCAAGGTCAGGCTGAGTAGGGCTGGCCTCTCGCCATGCTTTGGTGGGTGCTGTTCCAAGGGCTCTGCTTCTGTCTTGGGAAGCTTTCAGCAAGACACAACATGGCACAGCGTGGGGAAGCAGCAGCAGCACCTGAGCCTTTATCAACGTCAAAGGTAGAGGTGGGCATCGTGACTTTGGGCATGAGAGGAGAGAGGCTAAAGTTGGCAGCAGAAGTTTTGTCAACAAGGTTCTCCACCTACAGTTGGCTCCTGAGAGCTCAGCAAGATGTATCTGGGGATTGATTCCTTCATTCCTCCCCACTAGTGCTCTCTCTGCCACCATGACAAGCCAGACCCTTCAATGAGCACTTCTGCAGGTGCTCAGACCTAGCAGGAGGTGCCAGGAGCCTCTTCTCATCACATTGTACCTGCATGGTGGTCTCCTCAGCACCGAGCCTCAGTTTTCTCTCCTTCACTTCTAACCCTGATGTCTCTTCTGATACAAACTGGGTGACACAACCCTCTCCCTCCTTCTTCTCCCTGCCAAAACCCTCCAGGCAACCAAGGAGCAATGGACTTACATTCATTCTCAAAGAGATGGAACTGCATCCCTAGTAGGCCAACCGACTTGCAAAATGTGTACGTTGAGGAGCTTTTCTTCTTGGGGCAAAGCTTGAGGATCTGTTGGAGGGAGAGATGCATCATTGGGCAGGCATCACTGAGGAACAGTGAGGCAAGAACAATGCCAACTGCTCAAAGCAAAAAAGCTTTTTGCAAACTCAGAGAGTAACACTTGGTGACTGACAGGCTCTTTGCCCAGAAAGCTGTTTGGCATGCTGCACTTGTAACTACACTTCTGAAATTTTGGATGCATAGCCCTGGGGCCCATTCAGCTCTCTGTCTCCCAGGGGTGCTGGCTTTTTGAAGGCTACATTTCTGATTTTACAAGGGTAATTTTTTTTCAGTGAGGGCAAGATCAAAAGGTGAAGGGAAGCCTGTCAGAAATACTTTAAAGCGGGGAACAAGAGCATATGTCAATGCTGCACTGCCCTTAACTCCCACAGCACTAGCTCTTATGGATCTGATTTACCCCATGGAATAGAGGAATAGCAAAGAGCAGACCCCCTCCCCAGGTTCCTAACTGTCCCAATGGGTGAAGAGGAACAGGTGGGGAAGATCTCTTGTCCTCCGCTCTTATAAAAGGGTGTGAGTTTAGCCTTACATTTGCAACATCAACACTTTTAAGAGTAGTATACACTTTTTGGGTTCCAGTAAGTAGTATCTACTCTCCTACAGCCTTTGCAATGTTAGAAGGCAGTGATTTTAAAGTGTCTGGCAGGCAAGATTTTAAGTGTCTGGGAGGGCTGTGTCTGCTGTAGCACAAACAGATGAAGAAATGAACTTCCCTTTCATGAAATGAACCTTCCTGCTGGCAAAGGCATGAGAGTAGTGACGTTGCTTGGATGGCTGTGGGATGTGACAGCTTGCTTTTTTAAAGGGTTAGAGGAGTTTTAGATTTGGTAGTTTTTTAACAGTGAAGGATCCAAAACTGTGTCTTACAATATTGATGGACGGTCTGTCCTTAGAACATGGGGGAAATGGATGTTGCGGACTGGTTCTTTATAGAAAACAGGGTGAGTTTTTGTTACTGCAGTTCCTAATTGCCAGAGCACACTCACCACTAGCAGGTCATTGAAGAGAAAAACTTCCCTCTGGTGAGCTGCCTGCTTCTGCACTTTGTTGACATCAGTCACTTCATACAGACGGCTGCAGCAGACCAGCCGGCGATGGGGCACCGACAGAACCTGCAGAAGACCCAGGAGAGCGTGCAGGGGCTAAGGGAGCTGCCACTGTGGGTCTCCCCCACCCTCAGCTGGCACAACCCTGCCCAGTGACAGTAGCACAAACCAGTTCTGCCCACTCCGCCCACTCAAATTAATTTCCTCACCACCACTCCTCACCATGACTGCTGGAGTAGTATCAGAGAGAGCTATGCCTCTGTGATCTGGATAAATGAGAGGAGTGGGACAGGCTATGGGCAACCCTCTTCATCCTGCCTTCCTATATTTCTGGGTTCCAGTCACTGGGTGACTGTTCATCCTCTCTACCCTCACTGGGCATCTGCAGGTTTCCTGGGCTTTGAGAAATTATTCTGCTCATTTTGGGTAAACAGGATGTATGGTTGTGCATTACAGATCAGTTACTGCTAAAGAAGCAGTCTCTGCATTTGAGGGTCTCTCAACCCCAGCAGTCCTTAGGGAACTCATTAGAGACAGGTGAAATTGTTTTCTATGACTTTGCCTTCTGCTTTCTACACCCTCAGAAAGCCTGAAAGTTTGAAACACTGAAGGGCTATCACTGGAGCTTTGGCAGGCAAGACCTGCATTGGCAGGAAGGACCTGCAATGAGATTCTTGGGCAGTCACTGCACCAGATATTGTAAACTCAGGCCAAGAAGATTCCACCCTCCAAAATTAGGAAAGAATGAGATAGCAGAGAAAAAGGTGTTTGGAGAAAAAGGAGTGAATTAATAAAGACAAGTAAGAAAAGCATTACAGAAGATGAGTAGGGGCACAGAGGAAAAATGCAGAAAAGCAGACCAGTGAGGGAGGTGGGGGTGAAAGGGGTGAGTGGGTGCCAGAGGGGTTATGGCTGCTCACCGTTTTCATTCCGACGATGGACTTCTCCACTTTGGTGACATAAGTCACATGGTCCTCATTGGATTTTAGCTCCTTCTGCTGGATCCTCTCATAGATCCCTACCACCAGCTCCCGTGGGATGTCAGCGCCGTCATCCACCCCTGTCAAACAGAGAACATGTTGGGCAGGCTAGGCAGAGAGAAAAGGAAAGGGAAGAACCAGTGGTCCCTGACAGAAGCCTGCTGCCTCTGCAATATGCAGTGCTGGGAAGGCTGAAGGGAAAGTTTTAGCAGTACTCTGCTTTAGGCTGTTTTCTTTCTTGCTCTAACACACCTAATGCGCCAGCAGGAGAGACTGGCATATCTAAGGCCAATGCAGAAGATTTCATTATGCCTTTGCTCTGCATGGTGGCTCATTTCCATGTGTTCCCTAAGGTTTTATAGCCACAATTTAACATTCATATATCTTGGGCCACTCAGCAGCAACCCCTGCATTGATTTCATATCATCAGAAGTGCTAGATGTGGAGAAGACCTATAATGGGATCCAGCTGCTCCTCCTGCCTATGCAAGCATCAGCTCTCCTGTTTGCTTCGTGGCTTCCACCATTTTGCTTCAGTGCTGTCTCCTAGGAGTAATATTTTCCTATTATTCTGTCTGTGATATCTCTGTCCCTTTTCTCTTCTACATCTCCTTAGATAACTCCCAATATTTTGCTGTCTGACCTTGCAGAGCCTGGCAGAAAAGTTTTCTTTCACCTTTCCCTGAGTGAAACTCCACAAATTAAACTGCCAGTTTTTCCTCTGAAGTGAATTCCATCAGTCCTTTTATATTGATTTTCTCTGCTTTCCCCCTAGCTGCCTGGTCTGAGATGTACTACCCTGAGTGAGGCAGGTGAAGACCTGCTGAGGAACGGGGAGGCATTGTCATCTCCTGGATCCCTCATCCACAACCTTGCAAACGTAGCCTGGATACTCTTTTTTCAAACACAGGCTTGGTGAAGCTACTGACCTGGACACTGGCCTGCCATTGAGTGTGGAATGAACTGTCTCCCCTTGTCTGCATTGGGGTTAAATTCACTCACTCCTGTTACAGACATGAGGTGGGTGATCCTCATGCTGGCTGAATTCATTGTGATGTGAACTGACAGTTTTCAAGCAACTCTAAGTGTAAGTTAACATAAAAAACCCCTTTTAAGTTAGTGCTATCAGCTGTGATACCAAAAGGGAGGATGGCAGGTATCAGCCCCACCCAATATCTCAGGAAATAACTTGAAAGAGGGCCTCAGTGTCACATTATGCCAGTTTAAAGTTGCTGACAAATTGGGGATGGTGTGGGAGGCTGAGATGACACTTTCTGAACAGCAGTCAGGACAAAGAAACACGTACAAGGAATCCACAGAAATTCAAAATCTCTACAGGGATTTGCACTGGAAAAACTTTGAAGGAGCTTCATCTGAATTGCAGATGTGCAGTAAGAGACAATTGGAAGATGGGTGACTGATGACCTAGGAGTGAATATGGCTGGGAAATTAGGCAAGAATTTGTCTAGACATGATGTAAAAAAGGCCAAACAATACTAAACTGCATTAGCTGAAAATAAGGAGGAGGCAGTGATTCCATACATTACTACATTGTGACAACATCTGAGAAAGTGCTTTTAGCAGCCTGTAACAAGATGAGAAGGACTGACCTTGAAAAACAGAAGAAAATTTATTTGGGAAACTGATGTATCAGAAATTGCAGAGGTAATGTATGCACAAACTCTGTCAGGCCTACAGTTACAATAAATAATTGCACGCAATTAAGAAGGGGAAGATTTAGCCTGAACAGAAGGAAAATGTGTTCATATATTCCAAGCAGCAAGGAGGGGAAAGGCTTATTTAGCACAATCCAGCAGGGCCTAAGAAGGATGGAGCTGAACAATAGGAAAATGTAATACAATGGACTGCTTCCAAGCAGTGAGATCTATTAAAAGATGAAATAATCTCTCAAGGAAAATGGTTGATTTCTGAGAAGGCAAGGCAGCTTTCTGCAGAAGACAAAGCTTAGATTTTTCCCCTTCGCCAGCATTCTAGAATACACCTCAAAGGGCCTCCATGTCTGGCTCACAGGGAGCAGCAGCAGCTCTGAAGATAGGCAGCTCCACTAGCATTTTGCTGCCTTCACCTAGGCAGAAATTAGAGCAACAAGAGGGCAAAATAATCAAAGCAGGACGCTCACCTCTCAGATTGCGAATGAAGTCCTCCAGCATCATCTTCCTGTCAGGCTTGATGTTGGGGCTGTACATGTCCGTATTGAGGAGGATGATTGCAAAGGCCAAGATGAAGATGGTGTCCGGGTTGTGAAACTGCTGGACCACATCTGGGTTACACATGCAGTACCTCTGGCTGCAGCAGGAGGGATGCACACACTTAACATGGAATACCAGAGTCCCCTGCTCCAGGGTGGCAAAGGCTTCATTACAAATGGATCAAATTCCTCCTTTCACTCCACCCCTCACACAAATGAGAAGGAACTGACTGGTCTCTGAAGGCAAATCTACCCACCAATGGCTGAAGCAGGCCAATGAAGCTTCAGCCTTGTCCTCAGGAACCAAAAGAACAAGTGAGACTAGGGAGGACCACACAGGCAGCTGCCATTATGTAAGGATATAATAGAGGAGATGTCTACTCCAGCCTGCCTTGCTAAGGGCAAAGCATTCCCCTGGGTGCATCAAGGGAACAACGCAGCACCCCTGCAAGACCCAGTGCTGCTCTTCCTGTGAGTCACCAATGAACAGGCTGTCCCCTGCTGGCAGACAAGTCAGGACTGGCCCTTAGTGTCCTTCATGCCGTAAAACATCTGAAAAGCACATGGCTCTGCTGCAGCAGCTGCACAGAGGACTCTCTGCTTCAGAAGCCCCTCCATGATCCCCTTTTTTTTGGAAAGGAGAGGTCTCTGGCCACTCACTCCATGACTGCTGCATCTTTTCTGCCTTGGGTGCACTCTCTGCTTCCACCTGGTTGCAGCAGTGGGGCTGCAGGGTTCATTCTCTTACCTGAAAGCCTCAATGAGCCGCTCGACCTTCTGCGCCTCCCCTTGCACGCGGATGTGGGCCTGGAATTTCCGCAGAGCTTCATCCAGCTCCATGCCTGAAAAGTCCATCTCATCCACCACGCAGCTGTGGGAGGGGGACACAGCTTTCATCAGTACCTCCTCCCGTGGAGTCCACCAGGCAGCCTCCTCCACCACAGTTCCAAGGCTCAATTCCCAAGGGAAATAACATGAGAGACCCTAAGACATCACTACCACTGCCCAGGTCGTACTTAACGTGGGCAGTAATTTCAGACAAGAGATTCCTGCATTGTACAGCAGGTGAGCAATTTTTCTGCCATATATAACCATATATATGTGTGTGTGTGCATAGACACCATGGCAGAGATATATATCTTATCATACCATATACAACATATTTACATGTACATATTCAGAGAAAGTATATAAATATGTGCATTGATATTTATCTGTATCTATATCTATCTATATATAGATACAGATATCTAGACATCTACAGTGACATAAATACTTAGATCTGTATCAATGCCAATATTAATACAGATCCATCTATTTCTGCCCCTTCCATTCCCTTTCCTGCCTTTCTCCCTTCTGGAGAAGACTCTGGGAAGAACTCATAGCAGCCTTCCAGTACCTGAGGGAGCCTACAGGAAAGTTGAGGAGGGACTTTTTACAAGGGCATGGAGTAAAAGGCAAGGGGGAATGGTAAAGTGGGTAGACTTAGATTAGATATTAGGAAGAAATTCTTTAGTGTGAGGCTTGTGAGACACTGGAACAGGTTGCCCAGGGGAGTTGTGGATGCCCCCTCCCTGGAAGTGTTCAAGAACAAATTGGATGGGGCTTTGAGCAAACTGACCTAGTGGAAGGTGTCCCTGCCCATGCAGGGTGGTTGGAACTCGATGATCTTTAAGGTCCCTTCCAACCCAAACCATTCTATGATCACCTGGAAATCCTTGATACATTGTCCATTCCTCCCTCCCTTTCAGCTCATGCACTTGTTTACTTGTTCACTACCCACTTATCCATCCTTCTCTCATCTCTGCTCACTGGGATGTTCTTGCACTTGTCCTCTCCTCACCTCCCTTTCTGTCCAATGCACATCCCCATTTGCAACCCATACCCTCTTCACCACTCTTCACTCCCACTCAACCACTGCAGCAATAGTGTTCATTCTGTCTTTAAAGACCAGAACCAGTTCAGAGAAAACAAGAAATGGAAGTTGCTGTACAGAAACCACATGGCAACATCAGCTGGCTTGTAATATCAAGGCTGGATAAACCTCTGCCCATGTAGTCAAACATCAGGAGCCCTCACCAATTAATTCTGCCCCCACATCTATTAATTTTGCACATTTCTACACGTCCCACACAATCTTTTCCATTTCCACCATACTTCGGTGCCATGCTTCCTTGTTATCTGCTGGAATCCTTCACCTCGTACATCTGGTATTACTTTTCCTTTCACAGTGAGGCACTGCACAGTGCTAATTCATAGCCAATTTAGATGCACAAAAAGGGAGATGTCACCTCTCGTTTCCAACTAAAGTATTCTCAGCCTATAAAAGTCCTATTATTATGCTCCAAAATCTATGACTACAGTTCTTTTTGTCTGTATTAGTAAAATAATCTAGTTCTTCTTGTTTTGATCATTTGAAATGAGAACACCTTCCCCATGTGGCTTCAACACATTTGCTTAGCTTATTCCTACCTTTAGTGTCCTGCAGAAGACCAGACTCAGAAAATTCTGCTCATAACCTCCCTCAGGCCCAGCTTCCCATTTCAGCAGAATATGTAGGCACTAATGTCTGCATCAGCCAATTCTCTCCCCTGTTTATGATTCTGTGGCTAATTTCTATCCCTTCCACTATCAACTAACAATTTCTCGTGTCAAATCTTTGCTGAAGTCTAGACTTACCTTCTGCATGTCCCTTGTCTAGAAAACCAGTTATTTTAACAAAGACACTGAATTAATCTACTCTCCACTGGCTTTGGTATATACCATTTACCTTCCTGCCTACCTGTCTGCCATTATTCTTTCCTATAAATAAACTACCAAAGCTAACATTCTATCTGACAGACCAAGAAATTCACAACTGCCAAAATCCCTTTTTCTTCAAGCCTTCCTTAAATATAAAGTCACTAATTTGCTGATCTCCAGTCATATGACATCACCTTGACATTACAAGTGTATTAAAATTTTTAAAAATTCCTTTTTTCTGCTTCTCTATACCTTGGATACTAATTCTGTCTCCCCCCTCCCCCCTTTATTTCTTCCTCTGTACTGTGTTTGCTTTGCTTTCTCACATTGTAAATTAACCTCAAATCAAAGGTTGGGAGGAAATGTTTCCCAAAACAAGTTGTCTGGTACTGCATGAGGAGTGGTACAGGGAAAACAGAGGGGGAGAGGATTAGCTGTCCTCATGATCCTTCCATTTCCTAGGATTATCTGGATTATTTATTTAAAAAAAACCAACAAACAAAAACCACAAAAAAACAACAAAACAAACAAAAAAAAACCAAAAAAAAACCCCTCTGCCAATAAAGGGATGTGCTGTCACAATTTTTTTTCCTTCTTCCTTCCTGTGATAAACTGGAGATGTGTCCATTGGTCTTTTCTATCATGCTGCAGTTTGCTGTAGGTTGTTGGGAAGTGCTTTGTGAACTAAGCTGCTGAATGCCATGAGCAGTCTTGCTAGAATAAATATCTCTTGCATGATGACTTAAATGAGCAATGGACAGCATTCAAATGCTCAGAGACCTCTTTCCATTCCTCCATTCCCCTATTGTTTCAAGAGCTGAAATATCATTGCTTAACTGGAGTGATACCCACAGAGTAACTTACCAAGAGCTCTGACTGAACATAAGAGTGTTCAGGATCTTCTAAGGCTGGAGTTGTTACAAACTCAGTTAGGAAATGTGGGCTTTTTCCCTGCACTAAGCCCACATAATCAAAATGCAGGAACAATTGGAGAGGAGTGAGAACAGAGATTCAATGGGGCTGCTCTCATAGGAAATCATACATGGCATCTTTTTTTTTCCTCTCCAAGAGGTGGACTGCAGAAACACAAATGGTTTCTGGCAACAGCAAAAATCTCCTCCACTGGACTCCCTTCTTTGTTATTTTTATTTTTCTCATACTTATATTCACATGTCCCTTGGGCTGACATCAAGGCATTCTGCTTCTTGAAATTTATCTTTCATAGTAAAAAAAGTTTTTCTCTGCTTAGTTGTTACTGTGTTCACAGCTGCAACCACGTCTGTAGTTGGACCTGAGTTATTACTTTTTAATCCTTTTCAATGCATGATATTTCTCACCATTGACCCCAATGATTTTGCTGTTATTGTCTGCTTCCAGACATGTGACAACAGAGTCCTTGTACACACCAGTGAGACCTGTTGAGGTCACCCTAGTCACCCCAATCCACCTGCATTAAATCATGTGTCTTTCGCTCACTCACTCATTGATCAATCCTTCCCCCTCCACACAGGCTGCTCTAACACATCATCCAATTTGTGTACAAATCTCAAATAATACAGCCAATGCCCTTGATACAGAAAACACTGAACATTTATTAGGACAAGCAAGACAAGGCAGATGTTTATAACTCTTTTCAAACTCCAACAGGCATTGCTACATGAGTAATGCTCAGCTTCTCCTTTGAGAGTTTCTTTCACGGACTGACAGATGTGGGTTTACTTTGTAAATTATAAGATGAACTTCTGGGGGTCCCTTCCATTTGCCTTTCAGCCTAAAGAAACATGCCCCTCTGTTGTGCTTCCTGAGAAAAGTTGAGTAGGCAGAAATAACAGTTTAGGAAGAAAGTTTGCCTGAGCCTGACAAAGCCTGTGCCAAAGACCTGAGGAATAAGTCCTAGAGGAGCCATCAGGTATGCTGCTACTTTTTGTTGCTAGGCAGAGACAGTGGTGGATCAAAGTTGTCTGGTATTTTTTTTGAGCAAATTTTACACAGCGAAATCCAATCAAACAACCAAAGAGCCTTGTGCCATGGGACTGTCATGCTCCTGCTCCTCCTCTAGCTGACCTCATGTTTGGTTGCCTTGCCTGACCTCAGACTCCTTAGCTTTCTGAGTGCACTGCCTGTGTCAGAGCTCCCCTGAACTGCCGTGCAACTTCTTCTTGTGAAACCAGAGCAGGGAGGTCTTTTCTTTCCAAGGTAGAGACCCTGGAAGCTGACATAGGATATCTTGGCAAGCATACCGCAAAAGGTACACGCACAACTGCAGAAAGCTGCACACCAGGTGCCAGGACCAAAGGGTGGGGTCCTGGTTGGATGATTTTGCTCAGCTGTTTTGTGTCTGGTGGCCATGCTGCCTCCTAGGCTGCAGGGCACAGATCTCCCCAAAAGGAAGTAGACATAGTTGCATCAGAGCACAGGATTTAGCACGGGGCTAAGCATGGTAAAAAAGCCTTGTGGTAAAAGGTTTCGGTAGAGGCAGGAAGCAGCTGTATCGTGTGGGGCTGGGATCTGCTCACCCAAGCATTATGACCTATTTTCCAGCTTTTCCGCTCAGGTGACAATGCAGCAGGAGCTGGGCTGCAACTAAAAGCGTTTTTAATGAACCTATAGTCCATATTCAAGGAGGGAGCAAGAGGGGAGGCAGACAGGTGAAAAGTTTAAAACCACGAGGCACAAAGATATTAACTAAAAACATCCCTCTTTTCAGCTTCCCTAACCTTACGAGCTTTCTGAAGATGAATCAGTCTTAGGGTGGACTGCAGCTCAGCTCCGTGTGAGGAGGCTGCCCTGCATGTGTTAACTGAGGCTCACAGAAGATGACTGAGCAGGACTCACTGATCCCTTGCACCAGCAGGCACGGGAGTGGGATTGAATCCTGCCCTCCTTGTGTGAGGGTAGTCCCTAAAACTGACACCCTGTGGCCTACACCAGTCTTCCCTTTCTGAGAGGGTTCTGCACTACATCGCCCCTCCACGCAGGGCAGGGCTCTACCTGGCCTTCATCTTCCCCTCCAAGGGACGGTGAATGCCACTATTCCCCTGGGCACCTAAGCAGGTTCAAGCTGCACCTTTGGCCTTTGTAAGCCTGGCATGGGAAAGCTGCTCTTCTTCACAAGTTTGATCTGTGCCA